AGTCCTCCTGTCACTCTGCTCACTTCTCTCTTTTATATCTCAAAAGAGTTTGGCTCAAGACTCAATCCAGTCTTGTAGACTGAGTCCTGCCTCATTAGCATAACTGCCACCTATCCTACCTCATTAACATCATAGAGGTAGGATTTACAACACATAGGAAAATCACATCAGATGACAAAATGGTGGACAATCACACAATTCTGGGAATCATGGCCTAGCCAAAGTAATACACATATTTTTGGGGGACACAATTCAATCTACAGCATTTCCATCCTTTGCTCCCAAAAATTCATGTCCTTGCCACATGTAAAACATATCTACCCCATCATATCATAGCAAAAGTCTTAAATCAACTCCAAGTTCAAAATCCAAAAATTCCTCCTCATCTCTGAAATCTAGAATATAAGTTGTCTGCTTCCAAAATACAATGGTGCAACAGCCACAAAGTAGACATTTCCATTACAAATGGGAGAAATTGGAGGGAAAGAAGGAATAACAGGCATCAAGCAAGTCAGCAGAACACATTACATTAGCCCTCAAGGCTTGAAAATAATCCTCTGTTCTCTAAGACCATTTACACAGTGGCCCTGCCTTCCAGGCTCTAGGTATTGGCCACACTCTCAGGATTCTGAGTGGAGGCCCCTCAACTCCGGGCTTCAGCTCCATCTTCCAGGCCCACTGGAACAGCAACTCAGTTCCCTCAGCTTTAGGCGCACCATTCTCCTAGTCCATCTGAGTGGCGACTCCACCGTAGAAACACCAGAGGCCATGGCTCCACCCTCTGAAACCCCAGAGGTCGTGGCCATACCCTTTGAGACTGAGGCAGCTCAGCTTCCTGTGTTCCTTGTCTCTTCAGCTTCTGCTTCCTGGTTGTCTCCCCTGCATCTCCCCTGCTGGGCAAGTGTTCCAAAGCTCTGCAGCTCCACCAGTAAGTGCCTGGAGGCACCCCACTCCACCAGTAAACTTCGGCTAGAAGGCACTCAGCTCTCTTGCTCCATGGGTCGGCAAGCTAAGCTCCACCTGTAAGTGCCTGGAGACACCCCACTCCACCAGGAAACCTCCTGCCAAAGGCACTTAGCTCTCTTGCTCCGTGAGTTGGCTCCAGCGCTGTCTGGTGCTGGTCTCCTGGTTCTGCTGCTGCCTGTTCTCTGCTGCTTCCGGTTCTCTGCTGCTGCTTCTCACCATCTACACTGTCTCCAGTGTTAACAGTTCTCCTCACTTCCTTCTGAGTCCTCTGTCCATTCACAGTTTCAAAACTGCTTCCACATTTTAGGTATCTGTTAGAGCAGCACCCTACTCTCTTGGTATCAAATTCTGTCTTAGTTATCTAGTGCTGCTGTAACAGAAATACCACAAGTGGATGCCTTTAACAAACAGAAATTTATTCTCTCACCGTCTAGTAGGATACAAGTCCAAATTCAGGGCATCAGCTCCAGGGGAAGGCTTTCTCTTCTCTGTCAGCTCTGGAGGAAGATCCTTATCTTCAGTCGTCCCAGTCAAGGAGCTTCTCAGCACAGGGACCCCGGGTCCAAAGGGTGTGCTGTGCTGCCAGTGTTTCTTTCTTGGTGTGAGGTCCTCCTGCCTCTCTGCTGGCTTCTCTCTTTTCTATCTCAAAAGAGATTGAGTCAAGACACAATCCAATCTTGTAGATGGAGTCCTGCCTCATTAACATAACTGCCACCTCTCCCAGCTCATTAACATCATAGAGGTGGGATTTACAACACATAGGAAAATCATATCAGATGACAAAATGGTGGACATTCACACAAATACTGGGAATCATGGCCTAGCCAAATTGATACACATGTTTTTGGGGGACACAGTTCAATCCACAACAGGTCACCTTGTAGCTAAATAACAAGTTGGCTAAAAAAATAATGAATATCAACTGTAAGTACTGTGCTCCTTTGAAAATCACCTGTGTGAGACCAAACAGTCAACAATTACTTTAAAACAAAGATGAGAATGTAAGGGGGCAGTGAAACGAGATTAATGGAAATGCCACAACCAGAAAGGAAATAATGAAAATGTTTACGCATTGTGAAGAATGTAACCAACGTCACCAAACAACTTGTGTAGAAGTTGTTGAATGGGAACTTAAACTGCTGTGTAAGCCTTTACCAAAAACACATTTTTAGTATTTTTCAACTTTATAAACTTTGTTATTTGTTGTAATTTCTTTCTCATTTTATATAAATGTTCGATTTCAAACTTAAAAAAATAATTAAAGAAAAAACTTAGTACATGTAGTCCCCAAGTTACAAGGGGATTCTGTTCTGATGACTCCATCGTAAGTCAGTTGTGAGGTAAGTTAAATACCTCTTTTGTTTTTTAGTTTTCATTACCATTGCCTTTTATTATCAGCGTCTTTATAAATCATAACTTTAAACATCTACGAGTGAACATCTGCATATCAGCAAATTACGCACTGCAACATTGTATGTAGCACATATTACTAACAATAAGATGTACAAAAAAATGGTCATAAGTGCAGTTTGTTGTAACTCGAATATGTCATATGTCGGGGATTACCTGTGCATCAAAAAAAAAAGAAAACTCAAAGCAAAATAGCACTGTAATAATTGCTGGAGGCAAGATTCTCTGATGGACACCAAATTAGTGGATGAAAGTTTGAGGAGAAACAGGACATTTGCATAGTCTTAAAGTATCTCTCCCAAGATAATTACAAATACCAGTTCCTTAAAGTAACTTAACCAAGTGATAAAGATTGATATCACTGGTAATAAGACACATCAGCATTATGTACAACCTGATGTGATGCACTGAGAAGGAGACAGCATTATGTCTATAGTAGTAGTCTTTTTTTTTTTTTTTGGTGGCTTAAAATAACACACTTTTATTATCTTGAAATTTTTATTTGTTCATGGGTCAGCAATCTGTGCATGGCTTAGCTGGATCATCTGATTCAGGGTCTTTCGCTCGACTGCAATCAAAGTGTCAGTCCTTGTCCTCTCTTCTGAAGGTTTGATTGGGGAAAGATCCAGTTCCAAGTTCACTTACATCATACATAGATGTTGATAGGATTCAGTTCCTTTTGGGTTGTTGAACTGAGGCCTAGAGTTCCTCAATAGCTGTTGGCCACAGGCTGCCCTCCATTCCCTCTCTTGTAAGCCTCCCCAACATGGCAACTTGCTTCATCAAAGCCAGCAAGAGAAAGACTCTACTAGCAAGACAAATCAGAATATTTTGTAATCTAATCACAGAAGTGATATCCACTCAACGTTGAGGTATTCTGTTGATTAGAAGCAAGTTATAAGTCTTGCCCACACTCAAGGGGAGGCCATTACACAATGGTGGGAATACCAGAAGGCAGAGATTGTGGTGATTATCTTAGTGTTTACCTGCCACATTGTCCCACTTATTTAACTGTTCTCTTATTAATGAACACCTAGGTTGTTTCTAGTTTTTTTCTCTAATATAAACAATGTCATCATTTTTGAAGTTAGAGCTTTGTGAACTGGCCCAAGAATTTTCTCTGGAAAATCTTTCAAAGTGGAATTTCTAGATCTAAGGGCAAACAGCAGTGTGTGAATGTTGACACTTTCCTACCACCCTCACAAGCACTGGGCAATTAACAATCTGTTAAATATTTTTCAATATGATAGGTCAAAACTGACATCTCTGTTTTAGTTTGTAGTTTTGTTTCTTAATAAGGTTGAGTATATTTTAAGTTATCAGCTATTTGTTTTGGTCACCAGGAACAAAAACCCATTTGAACTAGTTTAAGATTGAGAAAAGAAAAAAAAGGAAGAGTGTGTTTTTTTGCAGTAACACAGAATGCAACTCCATAAACAAATCACCACATTAATTTATGGGAGGTGGAACACTGTTCATCCCAAATCCTGGCAGCCACTACCTTCATTGCTCTCTCTCTCTCTCTGGAGACCTTGTCTCTGCTTCTCTTAGCCCATTTTCTCCACTTTCTTCTCCTTCCTTGTTGATCAGATCTTCTGCTTACTCAGAGGAGTATGCTTCCTTATAGCTTTCTTTTGGTTTCCAAATTAAAACATATCCATTGTGAAAATTTTAATTAGTGTAGGTATCTATAAAGTCAGTTGTGAAAATTGAACTCCCACCCAATTCATTCTCTCAGAGGTATCAGCAATTAACAATTTGATGTGTATCTTTCTAGATTTTTTTGCCCTATGAATGTTGCTGCTGCTGCTGCTGCTGCTACTACTGCTGATGATAGCTTTGACAGTTGTACTGTGTTTATGTTAGACGTTAAGATTAGGAGAAGCTGGGTGAAGGATGTATGGGAACTTGCTGTACTATCTTTACATTGTACTGTTTTTACAAATGTCTGTAAGTCTAACGTTATTTCAAAATAAAAGCTTTTAAAAGTGATTTTAAATATTATCTTTATTATTGAGGGGCTGTATAGTGTTATGGTTAAGAATGTGGACTTTGCAGTGAGACTACTTGGACTCTAATCCTGGCTCTCGCACTTTTTAGCTGTGTGACTTGGGTGAGTCACTTAACCTCTCTTTGTAACTCAGTTTCATCATCTGAAAAGTGTAAGGATTAAGTAAGGTAATAATGTAAAGTGCATAGGTTAGAGCATGTTGCCTTGTCAATGCCGATAGAAAATAAAATTAGAATGAATGTTTAAGATAAAATATTGGATTGTTGTTTAGGTTCCATCTCCTAGACTCCCTAGGTGTCTGCTTTGATGAAAAATTTTGAGAAGCACAGTTTCAGATATGCTTTCTGAGTTACAGTTCTCAGCCCTTCTAATCAACTGTTAAGGGGTCTTCCACCTTCTTGGAGGCCCCAATAGAATTTAAGGCTATTGGGGAAGTAGCTATAGTGGCTAAACAACTTGTTGGCATTCCTTAATGTGCGTTGTGGGTACACATAGGTATTGTACATTAACTACTATTAGTGCCTTTTATTCAAGGGCTGTGCAACCATCTATCTTATAGATGTTTAATAGCTATGAATTGCTAATCGTGATGTATGTTGTTATTTTATGCCAGGACTTTGGGATATGGGAACGTGGAGACAAGACCAACCAAGGGATCTCAGAATTGAATGCCAGTTCAATTGGAATGGCAAAGGTAATTCTCTTTGCTCATTTTTATCAAGTGTTGGTTAAGGAAGACTGGGACACCTTTGACAGTTGCCACAGATAAAGAATTAAAGTGAATGTGGACCGTCATTAAGTTAATGTTCTTTTAAATCCCAGTCAAAATTCAGATTCACCCATAGAACTCTGAATATGTAGGTGAAAACTTCTTTCACGAAATCCAGATTTGTATATCCCAACTGCTTTTATAGTATATCTCTACTGATACGTGCCATAAGGACCTCAAAAAACATACCTTAAACTAAACTCATCATCTCTACCATTACTAAAACAAAGAAAAGGAGAATCTTACTCCTTTCCTATGCCCAGTTGACAAAGCTTGGTATCAGGGAACCATCTCTGATTGTTCCATCCTGCTCACTCTCCCTTCCTCCTCCTCCTCATGGTCATCATCATCATTACCTTTCCACTTGGCTGCTCCTTTTCATTCCCACTGCCAGTGCCTAAATTCCATCTCTCATCTTCTCTGGAAATACCAAGAAGGCATAAAATAGGATAGCAGAAATAGTATTAAACATTTATTATAATGATAAATATGTGTGATTTTAAAACAGAAGGATGGGAAAAATCAGCCATTGGAGGGATTAAAAAAACAGAAAGATGGGCAAAGTAAAGTCTGGCAAACAGACAAAAAGAGCAGAAGAATTCAAAACCAAAACTATTACATCAAAGAACAAAATTCTAACTCACAAAAAAAGACCAGACTTACTGATCTGACAGAGACTGGAGAAACCCCGAGAGTATGGCCCCCGGACACCCTTTTAACTCAGTACTGAAGTCACTCCTGAGGTTCACCCATCAGCCAAAGATTAGATAGGCCCATAAAACAAAACAAGACTAAATGGGCACACCAACCCAGTGGCAGGGACGAGAAGGCAGGAGGGGACGGGAAAGCTGATAATAGGGAACCCAAGGTCGAGGAGGGGAGAGTGTTGACATGTCATGGGGTTGGCAACCAATGTCACAAGAGACTAAGTGTTATTAATTGTTTAAAGAAAAACTGATTTGCTCTGTAAACCTTCATCTAAAGCATAGATTTAAAAAAAAAAAGAAAAAGTATTACATGGAACAAAGAGGACAGAAAGGCAAGATAGAACTTTAAAAAGCACAACTCACAATGAGAAAGTCTGGTCTGGAATGTAGTTTCAGTAAATACAAAGCAAAATATGTTAGAAATATGAGGCAAAACAGACACAAACAAATAGAAAGGGATAATTTAACAAAAAACATTGCCAGGCAATCAAGTAGACTAAAAATAAGATCATAGAAGATATGAATTATATAATTGTCTTAGTCTGAGTTCTCTAGAGGAGCAAAACCAGTGAAGCGTATATAGATATATAGTGAAATTTACTTCAAGGCAATGGCTCATGCAGTCGTGGGGGCTGGCAAGTCCCAAATCCATGGGTCAGACGGCAAGCTGAAGACTTCTGGCAAGCTGAAGCCTTTTGCTGGTTCACGTAGTTGCAGGGGCTAGCGGGTCCAAAATCTGCAGGTCAAGCGGCAGGCTGAAAGCTTCTCACATCCCAAGAACCAGAGGTCAAGGGACGAGATGAAGTGCAGGATCAAAAGCAAGCAAACTTTGCCAGAACATTCATTGATATATTGGAGGCAGGCCCCACCCCCAAGGAAATTCCCCTTTCAACTGATTGGCTGCTCACATCAGATCACAAAATGGAAGATGATTACATTGTATTTGCCAAACCACTGGGAATTACAGCCTACCAAGTTGACGCATAGTGTTAACCATCATAATAATTAATATGGTTGCATTAATAAACCTATAAAGTATCCTCTGGGTAATTTTTTTAATGTTTTTTCAATTATTAAGTGGTACAGATATTAAGTTTATTTTTAAAAAATGGGATCATGCTATACCTACTTCTCTGTAACCTGATTTTTTTAAATTTTTATTATTTAATTATTTTTTTCACTGAACAACATAAGCATCCTTCGATGTTATTTCATACTGATAATCTAGTTCATTCTTTTCAGTTTCTGTATACTATTTAATAATTTCTCTATTGATGGAATTATCTCCATTTTTTCTTTTTCACTATTCCAAATAATGCTTTAATAAGGATCCTTGTCCATATATCCTGGTAAACTTGTAGGATAGATTCCTAAAAGTAGAACCATTGGGTCAAGGTATATATACTTTAAAATTGCCCTTGAAAGTTTTCTCCACTATTTTACACTTTCACCATCCATATGTGACTGCCACTTTCCTCAGACCCTCACTAGCTGTGGATATTATCAATATTTTTTGGATAATTTAACTTCAAACAATTTTTTAACCACTGACACTTCTTCTTTTTTACCTTTTATTTGGAAATAATTTCAGACTTAGAGAAAAGTTGAAAGAATTGTACAAAGAACTCTCACACACTCTTCACCCAAGTTCCCCACTTGTTAATATTTGCCTTATTTTTCTTTCTGCATATTTATACATGTGCTCACACTGCACACACACACTTATTATTTTTCTGATCCAGTAGAAAGTAAATTGTAGACATGGTGACCCATTACTCCTAAACACTTCAGTGTGAATTTCTCCAAAGACAATCTTCCATAACTGTGGTATGATCATCAAAATCAGTAAGTTAACACTGATATTATACTACCACCAAATCCACATATCCCATTCAAATTTCTTTAACTGTCCCAGTAATGTCACTTTTAGCAAAAAAAAAAAAAAAAAAAAGTCCTTGTGATCGAGGGGCCAATCCAGGATAGCATGTAGATTCATTTAGTCTCTTTATTTTCAGCAATCTCTTTAGTCTCCTTCAATCTGGAACAGTTCTTCAGTGTATGCCTGTATTTCATGGCCTTGGTATTTTTGAAGAGACCAGTAATTTTATAAAATGTCCCTCAATTTTGTTTTGTGTGTTTTTTCTTCATGATTAGATTCAGGTTATGTACTTCTTGAAAGACTATCATACAGGTGATGCTGTATCCTCAGCATATCATAAGTAAACACATGATAAGGATTTTGTCCCATTATTATTATTATTATATTGTCTTTAGGTGAAAGTTGACAAAGCAAATTAGTTTCTCATTAAACAACTAATATACAAATTGTTTTGTGACATTGATTGCCAACCCCATGATGTGTCAGCACTCTCCCCTTCTCAACCTTGGGTTCTCCATTTCCATTTGTCCTGTTTTCCTGTCCCTTCCTGCTTTCTCATTTTTGCTTTTGGGCTGGTGTGCCCATTTAGTCTCATATACACGGTTGAACTACATGCGTTAATTGTTTTATAGGCATGTCTAATCTTTGGCTGAAGGGTGAACTTCAGGAGTTACTTTAGTACCGAGTTAAAAGGGTGTCTGGGGGCCATACTCTCGGAGTTTCTCCAGTCTCTGTCAGACCAGTAAGTCTGGTCTTTTTTTGTAAGTTAGAATTGTGTTCTACATTTTTCTCCAGCTCTGTCCAGGACCATCAATTGTAATCCCTGTCGGAGCAGTCAGTGATGGCAGCCAGACATCATCTAGTTGTTCTGGGCTTAGTCTGGTAGACGATGTGGTAGTTGTGGTCCATTAGTCCTGTGGACTAATCTTTCCCTTGTGTCTTTGATTTTCTTCATTCTCCTTTGCTCTAAACAGGATGAGACCAGTAGATGTATCTTAGATGGCTGCTCACAAGTTTTTAAGACTCCAGACACTACTCACCAAAGTAGGATGTAGAACATTTTCTTTATAAACTATGTTACGATAATTGAGCTAGATGTCCCTCGAGAAGATAGTCTCCAGGCCTCAGCCCAGTAATTTGGTCCCTCAGGGAGTTTGGGTGTGTCTGTGAAGCTTCTATGATTTTGCCTTGGTCAAGTTGTGCTGACTTTCCCAATATTGTGTACTGTCTTATCCTTCACCAAAGTTATCACTTGTCTATTGTCTAGTTAGTATTTTTCCCTCCCCACCCCTCTCCTACCTCATAACCATCAAAGATTGTTTCTGTGTGTAAACGTTTTCATGAGTTTTTATAGTAGTGGTCTCGTACAGTATTTGTCCTTTAGTGATTGACTTATTTCTCTCAGCATAATGTTCTCCAGACTCATCCATGTTGGGACATGTTTTCCATATTCATTATTGTTCTTTATCACTGTGTAGTATTCCATTGTGTGGCCATAGTTTGTTTATCCATTCATTGGTTGATGGCACTTAGGTTGTTTCCATCTTTTTGCTGTTGTGAATAATACTGCAGTGAACATGGATGTGCATATGTCTATTCATGTGACGGCTCTTATTTCTCTAGGATGTATTCCTTGGAGTGGGATTGCTGGATCGTAAGTTATTTCTATATCCAGCTTTTTAAGGAAGCACCATATCTTTTTCCAAAATGGTTGTACCATTTTGCATTCCCACCAGCAGTGCATAAGAGTTCCAGTCTCCCCACAGCCTCTCCAACGTTTGTTATTTTCTGTTTTTTTGATTCATTCCAGTTTAATGTCAGGGTGCGATGGTATCTCATTGTAGTTTTGATTTGCATTTCTCTAATTGCTAGTGATTGCGAAAATTCCCTCATGTGTCTGTTAGCTGCCTGAATATTTTCTTTGGTGAAGTGTCTGTTCATATCCTTCACTCATTTTTTAATTGGATTATGTCTTTTTGTTCTAGAGGTGTTGGGTTTTCCTATATATTTTAGAGATCAGACCTTTGTCAGATATGTCCTAGCCAAAAATTTTTTTCCAGTCTGTAGGTTCTCTTTTTACTCTTTTGGTGAAGTCTTTTGGTGGGCGTAAGTGTTTAATTTTTAGAAGATCCCAGTTATCTAGCTTATCTTCTGGTGTTTGTGTACTGTTAGTTATGGTTTGTATACTATTTATGCCGTATATTAGAACCCCTAGCATCGACCTTATTTTTTCTTCTATGACCTTCATAATTTTAGTTTTTATATGTAGGTCTTTGATCCATTTTGGATTAGCTTTTGTGTATGGTGTGATATATGGGACCTATTTCTTTTTTTTTTTTTTTTACAGTTGGACATCTAGTTTTGCCAGCACCATTTGTTTGAAAGAGTGTCTTTTCCCCGTTTAATGGACTTTGGGACTTTGTCAAAGATCAGATGACCGTCGATGGATGGATTTACATCTGGGTTCTCAATTCTGTTCCATTGGCCAACATGTCTGTCCTTGTACCAGTACCAGGCTGTTTTGGCTACCGTAGCTATATAGTAGGTTCTGAGGTCAGGTAGTGCGAGGCCTCATACTTTGTTTTTCTTCTTCAGTAATGCTTTACTTATCTGGGGCCTCTTTCCTTTCTGTATAAAGTTAATGATTAGTTTTTCCATCTTGTTAAGGAATGCTGTTGGTATTTGGATCAGGATTGCCTTGTGTTTGTAGATTGCTTTGGGTAGAATTGACATTTTCACAATGTTGGGTCTACCTATCCATGTGCATGGTATGTTTTTCCATTTCTGTAGGTCTCTATTGGTTTCTTGCAGTAGTGTTTTGTAGTTTTCTTTGTATTGGTCTTTTACGTCCCTGGTTAGATTTATTCCTAAGTATTTTATTTTTTTAGGAGCTATTATAAATGGTTTTGCTTTCCTGATTTCCTTTTCGTGGTTCTCTTTATTGGTGTATAGGAAACCAACTGATTTTTATATGTTTATCTTGTATCCTGCTAGTCTGCTGAATCTTTGTGTTAGTTCCAGTGGTTTTCTTGTGGAGTCTTTAGGGTTCTCTATGTATAGTATCATGTTATCCGTGAATAGGAATAGTTTTACTTCTCCTTACCAATTAGGGCGCCGCATATTTCTTTTTCTTGCCTTATTTGCTCTAACTAGGACTTCCAGCACAGTGTTAAATAGGAGTGGTGATAAAGGCACTTGTCTTGTTCCCGTTCTCAGGGGTTGTCCCATTATTATTGATGTTATCTTTGTTGTGGTATCTGCCAGGTTTCTCCACTGTAAAGTTCCTATTTTTCCGTGTAATGATTGTTTTGTGTCTGGCCAACTTCTGCTTACCTTTTAGGTCTCAGCTTAGATGTCATTTTCTCTGGGAAGCTTTCCGGAACTGTCCCCTCCCTGCAGGACTAGGTCAGGTCTGCCTCATAATTGAGGAACTACAGATAACTAATAAATACCTGAAAGAAAATTCAACCTTTTTAGCAAGTTAATACAATGACTGCAGCAGATACGCCATTTTTTCTATCAAATTAACGATTTTAAGATAGTACCTTGTTTGCATTAAGGAAGGTACTGTCATACACTGCTGGTGGTGGTTATGTTGGTACAACTTGCATGGAAAGTCATTTAGCATTATGTGATAGTGTTAAAAATTGTTCATACCCTTTGACCTAATGATTCTACTTCAGGGAATTAACACTTAAGAAATAATTCAAAATGAAAACAAGTAATTATTCTGTTAGTTTAACAATATTTATGGAGAACCTGCTATGTACCATGCTATGTGCAAGGCATTGGTGAAACTAAGGTGAAAAACACAATCCCTGATCTTAAGGAATTTGTAATCTTAGTAAGAGATATTTATCAAAGCTCTGTTTCTAACAACACAAAATTAGAGGAAACTCAAATTTCCAACAATTGGGAAATAGTTAACTATATATTATTAAAGCCATATGGGAGAATTATGCAGAAATGAGTTTTCAACAATATAGAGAAGTACTTATGCTATAGTGTTAATTGAAAAAAGTCACATACCAAATTTATATAATGGGATCTCACTATATACAAATATGCATGGAAAAAACTAATAGGAAACATAAAAAATGTGAACAGTGGTTGTTTTGGATGACTTTTTTCTTTCTTCATAATTTTTGGACTTTCAACATATTTTACAATGAGTATGTTTTACTTTTATAATCAGAAAATATATTTATAAAAGCAAGAAATTAATAAATTATATCTAAAAATATAGAAAAATGTCCTTTGCCTTGGTGGCAGATAATTTGCATCTTTAAGTCAAACACAGATAGTATCTTTTATGGAAACTCAGCTATGAGGCAACATCTAATGGTTGTTGCATAAATATCTTCTAGCCATACAACTTCTAGGATTTCTTACATGTTGACATCTTTCTTGGTGCTCCCCTGTCAAAAGAATGGCTTATGATAAATTCATCTGTGCCATGCTTCAAATTGGTGCTTCACTTAATAGTGCTATACCTCCATCTTATGAACTCTGTTTCTAGGACAATATTGTGTGCAAAGGAAAACTCAGTGACCCCTGGGGGAAAAAAATAATGTTATTGTATTTTCTGTCAAGCATATTCAAAAGTAACATCATGTGCATTGATGAGATACTGGGTTACAGGGAGAAGAAATTTTATGTGTCTGTGTATATACCTTTTACACACACACACACATGTGCATGTGTATAATAGTATATATTTCTAATGCTAAAGTTATCTTTTCCTTCTTTGCTCCTCATAGGCAGCCCTGGAAGCATTAGATGAACTGGACCTCTTTGGTGTGAAAGGTGGGCCTCAATCAGTTATCCATGTCTTGACTGATGAAGTACAACATTGCCAGGTAAGAGAATAATGGATTGATTATGTTCTATCAAATTATATTCTTATTCAGACTCAGACTTAGCATGGGATTCAGATTAAGAAGACCTGATTAAGAGTACATCATCTGATTTATTACCATGTGTCAAAATATGTTTTATCAATATTGTATATTGAGGTAAGCCTGATATAACATGAGTTATAAAATATAGTCCAGTTTTCTAAACCAGTGTTATAAAGGTAACCAACCATAGTGCATGGAATCCTGCAGTGCTGTCCATATCAAGGGTCTATGGTCTGTCTGCTTGAGTATCTCCTATTCTAAATATACAAAGGGAATACAAGGTGATAGATTTACAGTGCTTTTCTTGATAGTGGCTCTGAAACATTCTCATGTATCTGGTTGGCTCTGAGATTAGATGTTTGGAGATTAGACTGTTTAAGTGATAAATATGTATCTTTAGTTTTGTTTAGGATTACTCTCTGTATTTGAAAGATTAAAGTTCATCTCATTACCATGATGAATTTTCTCCTTTAAACTCTGATTCAAGATACCTATAGTGTTCTAGTGAATATAAACTCACCTTTTAATTTTAAAAACACAAAATTTTATGTGTCACGAGAATAGGAGCTGAGCCTTCCCTATCCTGCTTCTCAGTAGCTCCATGTTCTCTTAATTTTATGCTTAAATAGTTGAAAATGGAGCAACATGATTTGGGTGGGATAATAATGTTAGAGTGTTCTTTATCCATTAGCAGCTGTTTAAGCATCGGGTTAGGGAAGCATTGAGAGCAGGATTAAGATAACGATGACTTACAGAAATAGCTAGTTTTCTAAGCTTTCACTGTGGAATAATGTTTGGGTTTTCTTCTGAATGATCCTCTTCCATATAAATCTTTTGAAACTGAAGCTGTTCATTTTATAATCCCAAAATATTTACTGATATGCCCCATTTGACTTCATTTCTCTTAGTCTATTCTGAATTCGATACTTCCCCGGGCTTCAACATCCAAAGAGGTTGATGCTAGTCTACTTTCAGTTATTTCCTTCCCAGCCTTTGCAGTAGAGGATAGCCAGTTGGTGGAGCTTACAAAACAGGAGATCATCACCAAGCTTCAGGTATGCTCATATTTATTTTCTTTTCTGTAGAACTATGACTTTAAGGGGAAATTAGTGTATTTTGGGGCCTTAAACACTGTGTCAGTGATTTAAAGAGACCTTTAATATTTTTAATTGTCCTTTTATAAATAGTTTCTTTTAAAAACCTACCTAAAAAGGTGTTAAAATGCCTATAGCCATTGCTGGTGGGGGTGCAAAATGGTATAGCCACATTGGAAAATAATTTGGCTCCCAGGTAACCATACTACAGAAAGGAAAACTTGCATTCACAAAAAAATCTGCATGCAAATGTTTATAGACACTGTCTTAGTTGTCTTGTGCTGCTGTAACAGAATACCACAAGTGGGTGGCTGTAATAAACAAATTTATTTTCTCACAGTTTAGGAGGCTAGAAGTCTGAATTCAGGGTGCTAGCTCTAGGGGAAGGCTTTCTCTGTTTGCTCTTGGGGAAGGTCCTTGTCTCTTTTTGGCTTCTGTTTCTTGGTTCCTTGGAGATCTCATGTGGCATGGCATCTCTCTTCCCCCATCTCTGCTTGCTTGGTTGGTTGCTTGCTCAGTCTGTTCTTTTATATCGCAAAAGAGATTGACTTGACAAACCCTACAATAATACTATCTCATTAACATAACAAAGGGAACCCATTCCCAAATGGGATTATAACCAGAGATATAGGGGTTAGGATGTGCAACACATATTTTTGGGAGGCGCAATTCAATCCATAACACAAGGTTTATTCATATACACCAAAAATAGGAAGCCCTCTTCAACAGGGGAAGAGATAAACTGCACTATATCTATGCAATAGAATAATACTCAACAATAAAAAGGAATGAGCTATTGCTCCATGGAATAAAATGGGTATTCTTAACTGCATTTTTCTAAGGGAAATAAAACCATACCCAAAAGTCTACATATTGTATGATTCCATTTATATGACACTAGAAGCGGAAAAGCTATAGGGAGAAAAACAGATCAATGCTTTTTAAGGGTTGTGAGAAGAGATTATACATAAAGGAATAGCACAGGAGAATTCTGAGTGTAATGGAACAGTTCTCTATGGAACTGTGCTGGTTGACACATGATCTATGCATTTGTGAAAATACATGGAGCTGTATACCGTAAAAAGTAAATTGAAAAAAAAAAAATCACCCAGGGGGATTCTGGGAAGATGGTGGCATAAACATACCATCATTCCAAGCTTCCCCCACAAATACAACAAGGGAGTGGTGCTTGGCTTTGAGGGACTCTGAATTAGGGAGCAGAGGACAGCAGTGGGGAACTGCAGACAGGCAAAAATCAACAAACCTGCGAGTCACAAATGGGAGGAAAATTTCTTCTCCCACCGTCCCTGCCCCACTCCTCAGCCACAAGGGCCACCAACTCCTGTGAACTTGGGAAGTGGCCCCAGCAAAAGAGCCTGCTGCCTAACCAGCACACCCCCTGCCTGTACGAAGAGACAGAACTCCAAGCTTTTGCTGTAAAATCAACAAGGCAGAACTCCCCAGGGGTCTGTTCTAAGTGTGCCAGCACCTCCCCCACCCAGACACTATCAGCTGCAAGACTGCTGTGAATTGCTGCAGAAGGCCTCTTCAGTGGAGTCTGCACCCATAGCACTCTACCTGACTCCCTGTACACCCCATAGCTCAGGCATCAGTAACCAACAGGGTAGAACTCCCAGGGTACCAGTTTGGGTCTGCCTGCTCTCCCTTCTGGTTGGTGCTGAGGGACTGCTGACTGAGGCCTCGGTGTGCTAGGAAGTAGGCATCTTGAGTAGAGGCTACACCCACAGCCAACCTATTATGGGATGGATTCTGATAGCAAAAAGGCAGACCTCCTGGAGGTCTGTTCAGGGTGAGACAACCCCTCCCCCACTCAGTAACTGTTGACTGCTGGACTAATTCAAAGTCCTAAAAAAGTTCTGTACAGTAAAGCTAGGAGGTGGGTCACCTAAGAGGAGACTGCTCCCCACCACCACCACAGGGTCACTGGAGCTCTGAAACCAACAAGACAGGAGGCCCTTCTGGAGAGTGCCAGCCCCTCCTCCTCCTGAAACAGAGGAAATTGGCCTGTGCTTCCCCTGAATGCCAGCTCAAATATAAACAACCCCAACAGAGCAAGGAAGGAAACCTCAGGCAAAACCAGAGGGCAACACCTAGCCCCAAAAGGGGCTCGCTGGATGTGGGTTTTCTGAGTGAAAATGTGGTTGCAGAAACAAGGGAAGGGAGTGATAACCAGAGAGAGAGGACTGTGCCCCTGGTGGATGGATTGATTAGTGTGTGATATCTTGCCTGAATTGGTGGTGCCAGCAAGTGGATAAATTGACCATAGTATGTTCTCTGGTGTGTTTGAGAGACATTGAAAGTTAAAAACTGAGATCTGGAACTTTCAAATCCTGTTTAAACCCAGGAAGGATAAGGAGCTATCACAGAGGGAGAGGAAATGATAAGAAAAGGCCAAAGGCTCTGCCTGCCTAGGAGGTTTTTTTTTTTTGCAGAAAATAGTTCAGGCAAGACACCAAATGCTGAGAACTGAGGAAGTTATTGTCTTAATCATCCAGTGCTGCTACAACAGAAATACCACAAGTGGATGGCTTTAACAAAAAGAAATTTATTTCTTCATAGTAAAGTAGGCTGAAAGTCCACATTCAGGGCATCAGCTCTAGGGGAAGGCGTTCTGTCTCTGTCGGCCTTCTTGTCAATGTTCCCCCGGACTAGGAGCTTCTCCGCGCAGGGACCCCAGTCCAAAGGATGCACTCCGCTCCCAGCACTGCTTTCTTGATGGTATGAGGTCCCCCAATTCTTTGCTTGCTTCCTTTTTATTTCTTGAGAGGTAAAAGGTGGTGCAGGCCACACCCCAGGGAAACTCCCTTTACATTGGATCAGGGATGTGACCTGGGTAAAGGTGGTGTTACAATCCCACCCTAATCCTCTTTAACATAAAATTACAATCACAAAATATAGGCCAACCACACAATTCTGGGAATCATGGCCCAGCCAAATTGATACACACATTTTCAAGCCATGACAGTTATCATCCTCAAAAATTCAAATGCCCCAACAAAAAAATCACTTGACACACAAAGAAAAGAGAAAGGATAGCCCATTCTAATGAACATGACAAAGGGAGTGAAAGTGCATCTATGGAAGACCAAAGACTGAAAGAATATAATACAATGTTAAACATAATTAAAGAGTTAAGGGAAAACATAGACAAAGATCTGAAAGAAATAAAGAAAACAATGCTAGGACAAAATGAAGATCTGGAAAAAAAGATACAAAGAAATCAAACAGAAATATTGCAACTGAAAGGGACGATAACTGAAATGAGAAACACAACAGAAGGACTTACCAACAGATTTAATTAGGCAGAAGAAAGAATCAGTGAATTAGAGAATAAGATAGTTAAAATTAGAGACTGAAGATGGAGGACATGAATCTACCAATCCAGGAATCTCAAAGAACCCAAGCAGTATAAAACCAAAGACATCTACACCGAGACACATTATAATTAGAGTCTCAAAAAGTAAGGATAAAGAGAAAATTCTGAAACCACTGAGAGAAGCAAACAGTCACATACAAATATCCCCTGTAAGATTAAGTGCCAGTTACTCCTTAGAAACATTGGAGGCCAAAAGGCAGTGCAATGATATATTTAAAGTACTGAAAGAAAAAAAAAACTGTCAACCAAGAAAATTATACCCCGCAAAACTGTCCTTTAAGGAAGAGGGTGAGATTAAAAGATTCTCAAATAGTTACTCAGAGAGTTCATATCCACCATACTGGCCCTACAAAAAATACTAGTGTGGGTGTTCTGCAGATGAAAGGGAAAAGACTCTAAAAAGTAATTCAAAACCATATATAATGTGAAAGATCCCTAATAATAGGAATTGCGTGGACAAGTATAAGGGCTAGTAATAAGGTACTCATGCTTGGTTATTCTAATCGTTTTGTCCTACCTGCTTCTTAATAACAAATGTATAAAAACCAAGGATAAAATTATGTTACAGGACGCATGAAATATAAAGACATAATTAGTGATACAACAACAAAATGGGAGTAGGGAGAAATGGTACAGGTATGGAAGTTCTAATATGTTACTGAAGTTAAGTTAGTAGTAACTTACCCTAGGGTGTTACAAATACAGGCAGTTAAATGCAATATTCATGGCAGCCACAAAGAAAATATCTTAAAAAGCATGCACAAAAGCAAGGGAGAAGGGAACCAAAATGGCTCACTACAATAAACCAACAAAACACAAAAGCAAGGGCCTTCCAGGCAACATGGAGCTATGGTCAGAAGCAACACGCTGTCCCTCTGCAGCAAAGATCCAAAAGACTAAGTCAGACAGTGACACACATCAATCCTGAAACCCTAAGCATCAAATGAAGAGATAAAGAACTCAGCCAAGCACCAAATGGGATAAGAAACTGACCAAGAACAGAGAGCGAGGAGTGATACATGCAGAGGTCCCCTATCAGCTACCGCAGCACGGATCCACCATCTTGGACTCCTATCAGAGATCAGCGAACGGGGTAGGAGAAAGCAGCTTTACGGAGCTTCCAGCAGGAGACAGAAAAACTGGTAACCAGCAATATATGCTTTCCCACCCCCAACCATTCTTCACCCGCACTCAGCCTCCTCTGCTTCCTGCAGCCAGAGTCTCTTGGCTGGGAAGTACCGGCATCACTCTGATGTTGCTTGGATTCCACCCACCTGCACTGGCCGGCTCCCTGAGTGCCATTTGTTGGCTGCTGGTGTTGCTTTTTTCCACTTCTTTAGATTTCTTCCTTACCTCTCACCACCTCCCCCTCCTTTCTCTCAAATACCTGGCTCCGTGTGCCATCTTTGCCTCTTCCTGAAAGGCTACGAAACACTGCTCGACTGTGAAACTGCTTCCTGGCCCATGATGCCATGCTGGTGGGACCCCTGGGGCTTTTTGTTTGTTTGCTCTGATTTGTTCTGTTTTGATTTGTTTGTTTGTTTTCCTTTTCTTTTCTCGGCTT